TAAGTTGCTAACTCGGGAACCTGAGAAGCTAGAAGACTGGAATTTTGAAGGAATGTTTCCTGACAGCCCTGGCGGGCAGTCTGAAATTCTTTTAGCTAGAAGCATCTGCTGGAAAAACCAGTGCCGTTAACGTTTGGCTGCAGTGCAGGGCTTATTCCTGCTATTAGCGACCCGCGAGTTTAGTGCAAAAATGCATAATCATACCGGCAAGCTTGGTTTTTTTTTAAATAAAACATTGTTGGTTTGGGTGAGTGATCACCAACCTCTCCCCTGCCCATTCCATCCATAGAGACTCGTCCGGTTCAGGCTGCCTTCCGCACGGCACAAAATTTATCAAACTTTTTTTTGCTCAGGAATGAAAAAAGAAAATTGAGAAATGAGGTTGGCATTAGCTAAATGAGCTTCGACTACAAAATCTATGAAATGGTGGATATTTGTCGTTGTGTTGTAAACATGCACTGCGATCAATCACCATAATTAGTGTACTTTACTGCTTTTCCTGAATGTACATTCTTTCAAAGCCTCTTGAGTGATATGTGAATTCTACTTAGATTATGAAATTTTGAAGTTTCCGGTCGAATTTGTACTCTTTCTGGTATTTTAGCGCTCATTTTCAGTGTGGTTGAAAGCGAATTAGCCGATGTAATCCCGGTGATTCATTGCTCCATTGCTGGGACTCGAATTGTTGGACGCGTAACCGCTGGCAACCGGAAAGGACTGTTGGTACCGAATGCAACCACTGATCAAGAATTACAGCATATCCGGAACAGGTCTCTTATAACTTTGATGGTCTTTTTTCTTTTTTTGAAAATCAGGAAAATATATTTTACTTACAGCTTACCAGACAATGTGAAAATTCGACGAGTAGATGAGAAATTATCTGCTCTTGGAAATGTTATTGCTTGTAATGATCATGTAGCTCTGGTGCATCCTGAAATAAGCAAGGAGACTACGCAGGTTTGTTCAGATTTTTTTCGATTTTTTCACTTAATCGGAATTCGGTTAAAATATCTCTCACTGGGCCGTCTGGATTTTTCTTCCGAATCCTCCAGTATCATGCGAATATGCGCACTTATCAGTTTTTCTAGGAAATTAAGCTTCGGTTGTGTCACTTTTTTTTGTTCCTGTGTTGAACAAGAAAGATCTCTTTCACTAAAATCTTATCTGGGCGAGCGGGGATTGCATTTCAGCCCGTATGTCTTAGATGTATGGGTTTATTAACGCACCGAACATGGGGAACATTGTTGTATTAACACCCGTTGCCTGAAAAAGCTAGACAGCAAATCAGAAAAGTGTTATAACTTGACCTACGAACATCATTTTTTGTGAA